AAATCCTATTTGGAAAATTTCTTCCCTTCTCAAAATTTTTAAGACCAAATGATTTCCCCCACTTTGATATCACTTTCAGTGTGTTTAGTTTGCATCCTGAAAGTCTGTATTCTTTAACTGTTAAAGATTATTAATTTACTTAAACAGCTATAAAGATGTAATACTTTGTTAATCATAAAAAATTATCTGAAATGTTAAAGTATTTTTTTTTTTAAAGTTAGTGAATAATGGGATCCTGGAACAGAAAAAGGACATTATGTAAAAAAGGAAGGAACTCTGAATAAAGTATGGACTTTAGATAATAATGTATCAATATTGGTTTATTAATTGTGACATATGTACCATTCTAATGTAAAATGGTAACAACAGAGGTGCTCTTTATACTGTCTTCACAACCTTTCTGTAACTCTAAAACTATTCTAAAAGTTTGTTAAAAAAATTAATGAATAGCAATAAAAAGCAAAAGATGGGAATTTATAAGGTCTGCCTTTGTGTACTCTTTACAGCTACAGCATATGGGCTAAAGGTGGATATATCTTATTTATGAAAACCTAGAAATTTAGTTTCTATTTTTTTGATTGGTTTAGAAATAGAAGCTTATTATAGAAAGTCTTTTTTTCTAAACAAAAAGTTAAGAGTTTAAAAAAGCCCCCATGTTTTTAACACCCAGTTAGTCACTGTTACATTTGACATATTTTTTTTTATTGCTATTCAGTGCACTTACAAATTTTAACACTATTTTTATACACACTTTCTATTGTAGTGGGATAAAATCACCTATCATTTTATATATGCTTTTTTCTACATGAAGAGGTAGTAGAGCCGAGTAAGGTTCACGTGGGTTGAATCTCGCTCTCTGCATGTGATCATATAAACCAACTTCTCTGAGTCTCTGTAGCATCTGTAAAAACGGATAGTAAGTGAGACTATACCTGGAAAGCACTTACTGTACTGTCCAGTATATCACTCTATAATAAATATTTTATAGCTATTTTGAGCTTACTATAATATTGTAAGCATTTTCCTGCCTTGTTCAAACTTCGTAAACATTTTTTATAACCAGAAGAAAACTGTTGTCATAACAATTTACACATCTTCAAAAGTAGTTTTCTCCTTCGTTATGGTCACAGGCCCAAGGTAGAGGAGAAGTCTCTCTCTGTGGACCACAGGTTAAGAACCTGTATTGTAGAAGACTAGAAAGTGGAAACTAAAAAATTTTATCCTTCATACCACAATTTTTAACAAATTGGGATAATGAGGTATTTTTGTGTTTTAGCATGATTTTTTTTTCATTTACCATAGGCAAATATTTCCCTGTATTATTAAAAATCATTCTATTATGTGGTTATGCCACTATGTAGATATACTGTTATTTACTGCATGATTCACTTAATGTGAATAAATATTGTCACTGTAACAAATAATGCCTTAATGACAGCATCTCATTAAATTTTATTACATTTCATTTCAGACTGAGTCACAGATTATGAGGTTTCTTTTTAATTATTATTTATTTATTTATTTGTAGAGTTGGGTTCCCACTATGCTGTTCAGGCTGGTCTCAAACTCTTAGGCTCGAGTGATCCTCCCAAAGTGCCAGGATTACAGGAATGAGCCACCACACCCAGCTGAGCTTTCTTTTTTAAATTAAAAAAAAATGTAAATAGACATTTTCAAATATAATGAATCCCCATGTGCCATCTCTCACCTTCAACAATAATCAACATTTTTGTCTTTCTTGTTTTTATGAGCGTTTAAAAATTGTCTCTTGATACAGCACCAGATACCTGATCACAGATTTGCTTTCTGCAAATCTACATTTACTCCAGCAGTACGTGGAAATGCCCATTCTTTGCCACAGCCGAACAGCTCTAAATCTGTATTAATTTGATAAGCACATAGTAATACATTGTTTCAGTTGTAGCTTATCTTCGGTTGCTGGTAAAGTTTAGTTTTTTTCAGGTCTTACCTACTTATGCTTCCCTTTGTGAATTGCCTGTTTGGGTCATTTGCCCACTTGCTATTGGGCTCATGTGTTTTCTGTTTTTATATGAGTTTATGTATTAGGTATGTTAATTTTATTTGTTCCAAGTGTTTAAAATTTTGTTTATGGTATTTTTGAGATATAGAAATTTTTTGTTTTTTTGTAGTCAAATGTACCTATCTTTTTTCACATAGGCACTGTCCAAAAAATTGAATGACACGCATAATGAACTTAATGACATAAAGCAGAAGGTTCAAGATACGAATCTGGAGGTTAACAAGCTGAAGAACATATTAAAGTCTGAAGTATGTGTTTTTTTTTCTTTTTGCTCATGATACTTAGTTTTCACTGAGTTAATTTAGAATTGAGTATACTCCGAGGGACGGGTGAATCAAAGCTTTCTTCAACACATGGTAGATTTTAGTTTTGACAATGGTGGGTTAACTACATATTTAGAATGTTCAGAAAGATGCCTTGAGAATATGCCCCTTTTGTTTTGCGACTCTGCCACTCTAGACAAGCAGAATCTTCCTAACTGGATGATGGACGAAGGGCCAGAATCAACTTGACCTCACTTACAATGTAATTGAAAGTGGTGGGGTTTCCAATTACAGACATCTAACAAAAGAGGTTCCACCTGATTATGTAGCAGATCAGAACTGATTACCCTGTTATAGGGCCATCTATTTTTTTAGGACCACAGGGCAGATGGTTCTCCTCACACTTCTCTGTTAGCAATCATTTGGCCAGGCACACGTATGTGACATCAGATGACTCCAATAAGTGTGGTTCATGTGTGGCAACTCAGGAATAAACAGGCAGCTTTACTGAGGATTTTAAATATGTCTGTTAGTTAAAATATTGTCTAAAATTGAGGGAGAATGTTCCCATTAATGGTTTGAGTGGTATGTAGGTAACACTATACCTATTATAATAATCAGTCCACCTACACTACTTTATCATTTCATATCAGTCCACAAACACATCTTGAACATTTATTTATGGTATACATAGTACTGTTAAGGGCTTTGAGACAGAAGAGAGTCTAAGGATTCCTAAATTGCAATCCTTGCTTTCAGGCAGCAAGCAGCCTGTGTAGGAAAAGCACGTGGTTTCCTACACTTCTTGATTTTAAGGTTCCAGCAATGTAATACCATAAATGAACAGAAGGCTTTTTATTTATGCAGGCTACTCAACCTCTCTGATTCTTCCCATCTGTAATCAGGAAGAACACCCAAGTAAGTGAGATAATTTAAAACACCTAGCACAGTGAGCCATCTGAATCTATTCTGGAATAGGTTAGAAATAAATAAATGAATATCCAGAGCAACATTTTTTTTTTTTTTTTTTTTGAGACAGGCTCACTGTGTTGCCAGGCTGAAGTGCAGTGGTGCAATCTCAGCTCATTGCAACCTTTGCCTCCCAGGTTCAAGCAATTCTCCTGCCTCATGAGTAGCTGGGATTGCAGCTAATTTTGCATTTTTAGTAGAGACAGGGGTTTCGCCATGTTAGCCAGTCTGGTCTCGAACTCCTGACCTGAAGTGATCCACCTGTCTCAGCCTCCCAAAGTGCTGGAATTATAGGCATGAGCCACAGCACCCAGCCCAGAGCAACATTTAACATAGTAAGCTTTCAGCCAGTGTTAAACACTTCCCTTTATCTCTCTAGTCTGTTAGTAACATTACCTGAAATTCCACCATTAGGGATTAGAACTTTTAGATTCTAGAATTATATTTTCAGACATCACACATCAAGCTTCTTATGCTCAAGTGATCCTCCCACCTTGGCCTTCCAAAGTGCTGGGGATTTTAGCATCCTAGTATGAATTTGTTTATGAGATTGCATAACACTGGATGGATACAGGCCCTGAGAGAATGAACCACAGATCCATTTTGATAGGGATAGACCATCAAGAAGTATGGAGTACTTCATTCATTCACTCATTCATGCAGTGTGCTAGGTGCTGGAGTGCCAGAGATGAAAAACGGAGAGGAAACAGAATGACTCCCGGGCAGTGGGCACAACGTGAGCAAAGGTGTAGGGGAAAAAGTAGGTCCTGTAGGTAGAGTAGCGTGTACAAGTGGATGGATGATAAAGGAGAGGTAAGAAAGACCTTTGAACCCTATTTTCAGAAGCTTTTGTTAGAACTAAAACATAAAAGTTATTTAAGGATTACCTTTTAGGAAGTTTATTTTGGAAATGTCAAGAATAAACCAGAAGGGTAACAAAATTAGAAGTGGAGAGAGCAGTTAGAAGAGGTTGTAACCATAATTTAGGCGAGAAATGCAAAGGATTCCAGCTGAGGCCTATGGAGTGTTGCAGTGAGACTTGTGGGTGGCCAGAGGGAGCTGTGGATGCAGTGGAGGCACCATATTGAAGTAAAGAGATCCTGAAAGCAGGAAATAGAGAATCCCAAAGAACAGTTTCATTTTCTTTATAGTGTTGCCTCTCAGGCTCAACACTTCTCTGGCCTCTATGGGAGGATATGAAAAAGGGTAAAATATGCTTTCTGCTTGCCAAGAAGGAGGGAGCACTGGGTGGTTGGAGGACAGGAGAGACATTCTATGGAATCCCTTTTCACTTTGAGCGATGTACTACCTGGTCACAGAACTAAATTTAATGTAAAAATGGTTCCTATGTTAGAGAAATACAAGATGTTATTGGGGAGGCTTTACATCCACACCTAACAACACAAAGCTGCAAGGCAGTTTTAAGTGAATGACATAGACATAAGTACTGCACAAAAAGAGGGTAAAAATCAATGTGAATAAAATTCCTTTAAGTATATTGTACAAGCACCCTCCAAGTACATACTCTGTACACAACTATTATTGTTAGTACAATCATGGAAAACACGTATCAGGTTCCTACTGACACGTTCGGAGTATCTGAATCTTGAAAGCCAATAAGGTAGTTTCGTATATCGTTGACTGACACAGACTTGGCAAAGACCTTTCACATCAGAGGCCACAAGGTGGCAATATTAGCTGAATTTCCACCAGTAATCATAATCGAGAGACGGCATATCTGATTTGAAAGGAGTATTAGTGAGACATTATTTATTGCAATTTGGTCATTTTATTTAGCCCAGGATTTCCGATAGGGACGTGCACTATTAACAGGAGAGAAAGATATCTTTTAAATAATTAATTACCAAAATTACAACTAATTTTTTAGAATGAATTCACCAAACCATAATAACATGTTTTTAAAAATAGCCTAATAATGATTACTTGGTCAATTATGTTGTTTGTGGAGCTGAATTTCTTCCCCTCCTTATTTCCCTACTAGAAATCAGACCCTACTTCAATTACTCTGCTCATGATAGAATTTTGAAAGTTTGAAAACTCTGGTTTTTATTGTATGCTCAATTTATACATGAATGCATATTTACAACCAGTGTTTATTGGCATAGGTTTGATAGTTTACTTCTGAGCAATTTCAGGAAAGTTACTAGACTGGCAGGGAAAGTTACTAGACTAGCAGGTAAAAGATAATCATAGAACAGTTCATGATCAAGATAATTAAGGCTGGGGCTATGAATAAAAGACAGGCACCAGACAGGAAATTATCAGAAGTTGACACTTAAAATATGCAAGTACTCAGAAGCTCTGTAGCCAGCACAGCCCAGTAAATTGGTCAGGAACAAGGGAATACACCAATACGAAAGGTCAGAGACTCAGAAACCAGACCAGCAAGTAGTCCGTAAGCAGACATATGGGAAAAGCAGGCTGTGGAGGACTTTGAACAAAAGGAAATAAAAGAACAAATTCATTCAGGTCTTGAAGAAAAGAGTAACTGACTTAAATTTACTATTTACTAGTGTTCACTGAGTGTCACTCAGGAGTCAGGGCAGATCCTGATTGCACAGTCTTTGTTAATTACAGGATGACCTGTTTTCTAAACTAAGAGTATAGATGCATGTCCTCAGGGTTCTATTACAAATGCTTCTCATGGCAAGTGAATTCCCAATGACTGGGAAAATAATGTTTAATTTTATCATATGTTGAACATTTTAAATGTTTTAAAGTAATAGCTAAAGTTTGCTTTTCAGGAATCTGAGAACCGGCAAATGATGGAACAACTTCGAAAAGCCAATGAAGATGCTGAAAACTGGGAAAATAAAGCCCGTCAATCAGAGGCAGATAACAATACCCTCAAACTGGAACTTATCACTGCCGAGGCAGAGGGTAACAGATTAAAAGAAAAAGTAGATTCCCTCAACAGAGAGGTTGAGCAAGTAAGTTTGGAAAAATATGCTTATAATACATCCTGCATCATATTTAAAAGAGTTTTGTTTGGCCCTCCATAAAATAAATGTATGAACAAACACTAATCAATATAAGAATGTTAACCATTCTCCTTATACTTTGATTCTTCTACAATCTCTTAACTACCCTACATCCAGAACAATCATTAGCATTTGTTAAAATTAGAAACTATTTCAAACATACAAAAAAAAAAGTGCAAAAGAGGTAACAAAACAGATAAACATATCCCCAACTCCCACATGTAAGGATACTAACATTTTGCTGTATTTGCTTCAAATGTCTTCTTGTTTAAAGAAATAAAACATTACATATAAAACTTATCTCATCCTTTTCCCTCCTACCTTCCTAATTGCTGGTGTGCATAACTTTCCTATCAGTGTGTCTAACTCCTTTGCATTATGTTTATACTTTTTCTATAATCTTACACCCACAAATAATGTATAATGTTGTTTTGTATGTTTTGGTTTTTATTTAAGTGATAACAAACATAGTTGGAGATATTCATTTGCAACTTGCCCTCTTTGCTCAATATTATAATTTTGACACATCTACTTTGATATATATAGTGTACTGTTTTACTCAAACAGTTGCATATATTCATTGTATAAATATTTCCTTTTTAAAATTCATTCCCATATTGAAGGAAATTTAATTTTTTTTCACTTTTTTCTGTGATAAAACACTGCAAGAAACCTTTTACATTTCTCCTTGACTACATGTTTCCTTATATTTATGCCTGGAAGTGAATTTTAAAAAGCTATATGCCTGGAATAGATCCAAGATATGTGCAATTTCAACTCTTCTCTAAGTTTTTGTCAGATTGCTCTCTAAAGTGTCATTCTGCCGTTAGAAATCATGAGTTATTTTCTCAAATACAAATCAATACTTGATATTGTCTGACAGTTTTTTTCTATACTTTTTGTCTTGTGCTTCCTTGATTACAAGTAAAATTGAAGACCTTTTCATGTTTCTTAGCCATTTAGGATTCTTCCTCTATGAATGTTTTCTTGAATTTCTCTGGAATGAAATTTTGGTAAACTTTGCCCATTTTTCTGTTGGGTAGCTTTTTTGGGTAACTTATCTTCTTCATATTGATTGATTGATTTTTTTTTTTTTTTTTTT